TGCAATGTGCAATTGCTAGTCATATAAAAGATTTTGACTGCCGTTGTAGGATGAATTATATTATGACAGACAAAACATGTCATTTCGTGCACCACCTGCATATCCGGAAATTTTGTATGCAAATTTTGTAATTAACAATATGCCCCTAAGAAGTTTAGTTTAGAATTTATATACATATGTTTATTATAACAAACTCAGGTTTGAAGAGGTCTATTTTATGAAATTACTGTAATTTATTTGTATGCCACCTACACTAGACTTGCCACAAAAAATTACTTTGAAACACCCACCGAGCAAAGCTACATCGTACATTATTTGGCTAGCTTAGACTTGATTTTAGCAGATGATAAAGCCAAGAATTGTACTGACTATCTGAGTTAATAACTACTCTGTCTTTCCTAGCAAGGCTATTTTTCAAAGGTGCCAGACGCAAGGACTGGTCTACACCAAGCTCTTCAGAATAAGATTCCTTTCCCTACACCCCAGTCCATATTGGATCCGAAAGTGCTGATACAAATGGCTTGCTTATGAGCAACGTGGCCACTCCGTCATTCTCTTTGGTATGGGAAACGCATATGAAAATCCAAGCCTAAATTTGTGTTTAATAGCATGTGGATCTATTCCTTATCGGGCAAATGCTTAAGATTGAGATATGCCCACGGGTCATCACTTTACACAACCCCGAATCTTAGAGGAGCTGCATTCAGTGCTTCTGAAGGATAGGAGCCAGCTATCCAATAGTGCTGTGACATTATGAGTGTGTGAGACATTTACTATACATGTCGTTAAAAAGCTAATACAGTTCGTCATTCCATCTTTTTCGGTACTCGTCACACACGCGTGCGGGATCTCTCGAAAGCCCCCAGAGCTTTCTCATCTTTGTTAGACATCGTCCATGTTTCTGCGCCATATAAAAGGACAGGCATGATGAGAGATTTGTATAGCGTTTTTTTTTGTTCATTGATAGACCGAGCCCAAATTAGCACCTGTTGGCAAGAGTTATTCTTCGCTTTATCTCCAGACAGACATTATTGGTGGTTTTTATGCTGGATCCCAAGTAAACAAAGTCTTTCACTACTTCAAAGATACTTATGACTACGTGCGTCCCAATACACGAAGACTTTTTATGTGTTGCCAAGAAGTACTTTACCTTGTCCTCGGTGACTGCCAGATCAACCTCGTTAGCTTCTTTGTCTAAGCTGCAAAATGTAGCGCTGACAGCCCTGGGTTTCGGGCCAACGATATCAATAACATCTGCAAACGCCAGCAGCATCATGCTTTTGCTTTCTATGGTGCCGCTGCGATTCTGATGGGCAGCTCTTATAACGCTTTCCAGCATCAGGTTGAAAAAATCGCATGAGGATAAATCACCAATCACCATGTGTAAAACCTCGTTTGGTCTCAAAGGGCGCGGAGAGGTCATTTCCAATTTGAACGGAGCGGAAAGTTGTGCTCAACGTCACTCTACATAGCCGTATTAGAATTGCGGGGATCCCAAATTTACACCTGGCATCATATAGGCAACTCCTCTTCGTACTATCAAAAGCAGCTTAAAATCAACGAAAAAATGGAGTGTGCCAATTTGCATATCGAGTATCTTTTCTAGAATCTGGCGGGCTGTGAAAATCCTGTCAATAGAGGACTTACCAGGTCTAAATGCACACTAGTGTGGTTCGTGAAGATCTTCACTCTTTCACACAGAATAGTTGGCGGGGTCTTGTATGTAATATTAAGGAGGCTTATTGCGCGGCAATACGCTGTAACGGCTGGATCTCCCTTCATGTAGATTATGCAAAGTACACCGAGATTCCAATCTTAGGGCATTTATTCATCAGACGAAATTCTACTTAATACCTGGTGCATACGGTGGACCAGCACTTTGCTTCCGGTTTTGAACAGCACAACCGGTATACTGTCTGCTCCGGGGAACTTGTTGTTTTTAAGTCTCCTTATTGCTGTTCTAACTTCGTCTTGGCCAATTGGAGGACCATGAGTTTCGTCCCTATACATTAGTTGAAAAGTGTTCCCTGCACAACTCAAGCGTTATCTGGACATATTTTACCAGATTTCCACATTCATCTCTACGCGAACCAGCCCCGTCTTGAAATCATTTGATTGCTGCCTTGTTTTCTGCCTCTTTCTCTTTTATTTTGTACCATTGTTTTCTGCCTCTCGTTTCTTTCTTTTGAATACACGTCTCCCCTCCCTCCTTATCTCCCGGTATCGTTCCAATGTCGGTCGAGTAGCTGTAGGCTGCAGGTTGGCTTTGTATGCTGCGTTTTTTCTGCAACAGCCGCGCGGCACTCTTCGTCATACCAGTCGTTCCTGCGTGGGGATTAGTATCCCACCACATCTTCCGCAGCGGCACCTCTTCCCACTACCTCGCCCAGCTCGACTTTAACGTCCTCTCAGCGCTCATAGTTGGAGCTTCTCTTTAGTTTCATCGTCCTTCTCCTCCGTTGGGGCGTGCCCGCAAATGAGGCTCACGTTGTTGAATTTGACTTTGATACGGATCGTGACGGTAAGTGTAGCAGTGCGTCAAGAGCACTATACACCACTCAAAAAAATTAAAGTTAAATAAAGAGGCTAAGTATCAAGCAACCATTTTGGTTCTTTACATTGAAACCAGATAAATTTTCGTCGACCCCCATTTACAACCCCCATATTTTTTTCACGTTACGGTGGACCCTCGTCGAATCTTCCGTGGACCCCTGGGGGTGCACCGGGACCACTGTGGGAATCACTGCTTTAGAGGGTTCGGACATTCCAAGTGCATATCCGTAAATCAAAGTTCTTATTTAGTAAGCGAGTCAATGTTTGCGGGTGCAGTTATCCGAGGCCATTTTTCTCTTTTCATTGGAAGGCGTTATTACGCGGCAAGTCCCTTGCTGAGATGAGTGGGGTTTCAGCCGTATGCACGTTTAAATAGCTAACCGCTTGCTGCAAGACAAATGCTGCAGACTTTATTGCGTTCTTATGAGAACATCAGCCGGCCGGGCAGGGGCACCTTCCCTATTAAGGGTCCGGACATTCCAGGTTCATGCCCTCAAAACGTTGTCCTTTAAAAATTTGCCGTGGTCGTCATAATAAGGAGGGGTCTCATCCGAGGTATTTTTTCGCTTCTTCACTGGAAGGAGTTTTTAAGTGGCGGGTCCCAAACCCAGCGCACAACCCATTGCTGGGACGGGGGTGGTTTCGCAACCAAATACACGTGTATATAGCGAGCCGCTTGCTCCAAGACAGACACCCGCTTGCAGCCGAACCTCCTGGTAAACAGACGCTGCAGACTTCAGTGAGCTCTTAACTTAAACCGAATAAGTCGGAGTGGCACCACCGAAGCTCGCTATCTTTCTGCCGTGACTAATTACTCCCCTCGGGTTTGTTAACACATCTTCTCACGTTGCCCAGCGTGCGCTAACGGGGACGTAAGAGTCGGCTATACCACATTGCACTGCGGCTATACAATGATCTGTGGATCATCAAAACCCAATTGTTTATCGGAGGTGTTAGGTAAAATCAAGACCGTTCAGTTTCCCTGAAATTGTCTAAATTTAATACCAGAGCATTAGATCTAGGTAATAAATTAAAGGCGCGATGCTTGTATTAACTAATTCAGGTAGATTATAGGAGTTGATGTATGTATGTAATCACATGCTTTAAATTGTACACTAACAACTTCTTAATAGCTCAACCGGAAATTTTCACATTTGTCACTTGCTCAAATCGTTCGCCGCCAATTCATCGCACACAAACTCACACAAATTTCGCTCACATACTCGCACATATAAAAATAATTTTCTTACTCGACGTAATAAAAGAATTTAGGTGATGGCGAAAATTTCCCGTGCTTGCGGTGATTTCACCGAGAGCAATGCCATTGCAACCACACCTGTTCTTGGGGGAATTTGAAAGCCATCGGCAGTGAGATTGCTTTTTAACCTGCCACCAATGCGCCGGAAAATAACATAACCACAAATTGAATGAAACCAAAAACCACAGGACTAACAGAAATGCATTGAAGGAAGGGACCGCACCAACATTAAAGCAGTAGGGTGTTAGTGTTTTAAGAAAGCAAGCAAGACAAAAAGGATTGTAGAAGAAAGAAAGTTTTGCTACTCGTATGTTTAAGAACTGGTTTGAGATGTGAAATTTTAGTTAAATTTAATGAGCATAGCTGCCCAGGGAATGCAGTAAGATGCTCTAGGTTCTCCACTGAAATGCTGAAATTCTTTCAAATCTTTTAGCTCAGAGGAAGATAAGTGAATTAGAAGGCTATTTCGAAAGTAGCTTCCCCGTCATAAAATACTTACCTGAGGAGTAGAAAGCTGTTCAGTATCTCTGCTTTGACATCTTAATGCGGTTACATTTTTCCATGGATTATTCCTGCGTTTGAACAGTTTAAGTGACAGAAGAAAGGCGAAGCACTAAATTTTGCAGAGATGACCCAAAGTAACCTCGTATAAATATAATTCGTTCCCTTTCCTGCCCATTGTTTACAGCCACTTCTCGTAGCTATAAAATCCGATGAGCTGTATAAAACAGGGCTGCAAACCGGTCTTCGAACCGAACCGTTTTTATTTTGCTATGAAACTGCATACTCGGATTTTTTATTATCTGCAGATTTTTGTTTTAATTTTCGTACAAAGATTTAAATTTGGATTTATACGGTTATTTTTATAGAACGAGCTATACTTTTATAAAAAAATTAATGAACATTAAACAAACAAAAGAAAAATTTTGAAATATCGCTTTCCTGTTATTTTGACCACAGGATAGCTCCAACCGACCGAAAATGGGGGTTTTAACATTAAGCCAAGGTTTTGAGTGTCAATTAAAAAACCTGAGTATACTATGTTGATCTATTCGATTAGGCTCACGACTTTATTAGTTTATTAAAAATTTTTCTAATTTCGCCTTGATCGCGGGGATTTTAATTCATTTTTTTTGTTTGGGGTATTACGCATTTTCTTCTATACAAAAAAAAATTTCTCACATACTTTATATGGAAGAAACTCCGTGAAAATTGCCAATCATCAACTTAATTTAATGTATTAAAAATTGCAAGCTTGATGAAACTTTGCAGAATTTTCATAATTTGTACACAAAGTTGGAAACTTGGAGTTAAAAAAGTAAACATTAAAAAAAAAAATAGCCTTTTTGCTAAAATGTCGTGTCACTATTTAATTTTCCTCCACATGTGGATATTTGAATTTGGTCTCAGTAACAAAGTCTTCTATTTTTATATTATATATTTGTCATATTTTTGCAATATTTGTATCCTTTAGCATATGTACAAAAATTGAACCATTTAAATCGAACCGAGCCACCGATTTTTGGAGTGGTCCGCAGCCCTGGTATAAAAGGCGTGACATTCGATGGGTAAACATATGTGTCTCGAACTAGACCGGGAATGGTCCCAAAAAGTCCTGAACTTGTACCGAACTGGTACCGAGCTAGTGCTGAAATTATCCCGAAAAAGTCCCGAGCTAGTCCCAAAATGGTTCCGAGCTAGTCCCAAAGTGGTCCCGCAAAAGTCCCGAAGTGGTCCCGCAAAAGTCCCAAACTATCTTAATGAGCCGTGTTGCTGGAACAGCTGTTCAGATTTGTTTTCTTTTGTGCTACTTATAAATGGATGTGTGTCTTCCGAGATTCAACTTTGAAAATAATGAACACGACTTAAAATTGGAAAAAGGAAAGGCTTAACCTTGGTAGTACGTTCGCGTCTAATACACCGACTATTCGGTGCAG